ATCAATAACATGACACAGCTGGTAACTTTTGCTGGCTTTTTGTCATTTTGGGAAATGGACGATGTCAACGTTGTTCTAATTTGCTTCGCCTAATCATATTCTTGCATGCTTTCCAATGGGACCATATGTGCGTAGTAGCCCCATCCTATTGTCTCTACGCTTGTTGAGAAAAAAAAGCTTTTGGCAAGCATACATGCATACTAGTCGGACGACTTCTTCGTTGTCATCTTTCTTTTTGCCTTTCAATGCCTTGGTCAAAAGGGTGCGTATCCATTTTAAAGTCGACCGGCTGACATTTTTGCATCTTTTTTTTATAATGCCAGTCTTTGGTTTCGCACCATATGATATGTCCATCGGCTTGCTGCCACAGTCGACACCAAAAATCAACTTGATGTCGCTGTTGTGCATGTTCATCTTCTTCTCCCCAATGTAGAAGGCATCTTTTGAAGCTTTGTACGTTTGTAGGACATGCACAATAACATCATCATACTTCATGCATTTGTCAAGGTCGATCTGATTGTTTCTCAATGCATCTAACAAATTCCAAAATGGTGTTTGTTGCAGGCAGCCAAGCTGTGCTTGTGTGAACTTGGTGCTTTTTATTAATTTTACCAGTCCGGTCATGTTAGATTTATAGTTCACATGGCGCATGTCGACATTGGTGCTAGTATTTGTTTGTGGGGTTTCTTCCTTGACATGGTACTCCTCTCTCTTTCTCTTTAAGGTTTTCTTTTATGCAACATCTACAAAATAGAGCATTTTAAAAAAATTAAGTCAAGGCTCATGTGATTTGCATAGTGGAACAGATGTGAACATTCACAGCATTGCCACTGATGTGCATGTTCACAGTTGTGTGCATGGGTGTGAATAACCAGATTTTGAGTATGGATGTGAACATTCACATCTGTACATAGATGTGTATGTTGACTGTGTCAGCACAAACACAATGTACATATTGTGTGAGTGTGTGAAAAATAATGTATTTTTATACAACCATGAACACCATTGAAGAACATGTGGATGTTAACACAAACATATAAAATGATTTTCAATCCATGTAAATGTTCACAGCATAGAACAACAACACCAATAACATATAATTTTCAAAAAAAATTCAGTCAATGTGAATGTTCACATCTTTCAACAACAAGAACAACAATAGAATTGGCCAAACATTTTCAATCAATGTGAATGTTCATAGCATAAAACAACAACTTTAATCCCTGGTTACCCAAACATTTTCACTCAATGTGAATGTTCACAACTTTTATCAACAGCAACATAAAACAGAATTGGCCAAAACATTTTCCAAACCATGTGAATGTTCACAGGATTGAACAACAACCGAATAACATCTGGAAAAAATTGATTATGCAACCATTTTCAATCAATGTGAATGTTCACATCTTTCAACAACAACAACTACAACAGAAACATTTTGGAATGTTCACAGTTGTGAACACAATGTAATGGCAACTGTAATATTTTTTACTGAAAAAATCAATATAATTAGAGATTACGATTGAGGGGTTCAGATTAAATGTTAGGGTATGAACAATATGAACTCCTATATATTGTATGTATAGAAACAGGGGATATTTGTAAAAGTTCACAATGTTGGTTGTTGATAAAGAGGTTTAGCGTTTAAATACATGAATGAGTAGAATGCTTACGTTTTTTGCCCATTTCGACGAAGAAGATGATGAGACCACGAGACGATGCAACGAACGAACGAAGACAGTCTTCTGGGCGTAGGGACGACGAAGAAGATGATGAGACGATGCGACGATGGAACGAAGACAGTCTTCTCAGCATAGGGACGACGGAGAAGATGATGAGACGATGCGACGTTGTGACGATGGAACAAACACAGTCTTCTGGGCGTTGAGACGATGTGGAATATAGATTTTGATTTCTGGACTGTAGAGGTACTGTACGTGATTTCCTACGCAAGAATAGAGAGGGGAAGAGAGACGGTTATTGCATTCAAAGAGAGAGAGTCGCGTGTTTGTTTGAGGGTTTTTATGGTTCTTTTTGTATGAAATGGACCTAATGGAATATTGTAAAACACTATGGGTCTTATGGAATAACACTCTTAGATAATGGATTTACCGAAAAAGATCCCTTTTCAAATTACTTCTTAAACAATTTTTAATAGGGTAGCGATATATACAAATAAAAAATTCATATAATTATATATAATGATTTAGTAAAATTTTGAGCTTATCATTTTAGAATAAAAAGCTGAGCAATTTACACAAATAGTCCCTATAGTTTGGGGCTTGTGTCACTTTGGTCCATGACTTTTCAATTGTGACACATTTGAACCTGAATTTTGAATCTTGTTCCAAATAAAAACAATCAAAGATGCCATTGTTTAATTTCAAGGGCAAAATCATCAATTTAAAAAAAATATAAACTAATTTGACAAATATAAATGTCAAAAAAATATTTTTATCCACCAATGATAAAATTATGTAAAATTGATAAAGATTAATAAAAATTACATGATTGATTTTTTAAAATTAATTTTACATGATCACCATCCAAACGCATAATAAAAATTAATTTGGTAAAAAAAATAAATAAATGTTTAAAAGATTTATCAATTTTACATAATTTTATTTTTAGTGAGTAAAAATAATTTTTAAAAAATCAAAAATATTTGTTTGACATTTATTTTTATCAAATTAGTTTATATTTTATCAAATTAACGATTTTACCATTGAAAAATCTAATAATATTTTCAATTATCTTTATTTGGAACAAGATTCAAAATTCAGGGTCAAATATGTCACAATTAAAAAGTCAAGGACCAAAGTGATACAAGTCCCAAACTATAGGGACTATTAATATAATTCACCCTAAAAAAACTTATTAAAACAAATAATATTGTCACATTATTTTGGTACAATATTCAGTACAAAATATCTGATGAGTTAACCCTTTCACTTTCAATATTAACCAATCAGCACAAGCACTCTCGTTAACTGTTCATACCCAAACATCGGGTTTGTGTGTGAAGCCTTTGCATTGAGGTATATCAACCAAGAAGGACTTGCCATGTCAACAGTAAAAATGGATCTAAAAAGCTCAGCATGCAGCTTATATCATATCCCTAAATGAGATTCATGTAATCCCACTTTGGAGAAATTTATGACATTACTCCAATTTGTTCCGAACTTTCTTGTACTTCGCTTAATTGTTCTTTGACCATCCTAGAAAGGGATCTATTCATTTGCAAGCACTTTTTTATGGTTTATTTCCTTTTGGTTTTGTCTTGGTGTATTTTTCCTTCTTATAATTTAAATATAGGCAAAGAATTCATATATGATTTTAGATTAAAATACAAAACTAATTTTGTTAAAATTAAGAACAAAATTACTTAAATACTCGTATGGTATATTCTCTTTCTCTCTTCTCAAATATATATAGTTTTCTATCTTGATCACATATTTAAAAAATAAAGTCATAACAAGCTAAGCATCCTAATTTATTACCATAAAAATACCTTAATCTAATTTTTAAATTTTAATCCAATTTCTTATTTTACAAAATTTTAAATTAAATAAACACCTTAATTTATTATCATAAAATTATCTTAATCTAATTTTTAATTTTTATAAAATTTTAAAATAATGTATATACATATAATTAAATCATAAATTAAATTAAACACCCTAATTTATTATCATAAATACCTTAGTTAATAACATTTTTAATTAAATATATATATATATATTTAACAAATTAAATCATAAATTAACCTAAATACCTTAATTTATTATCGTAAAATTACCATAATATAATTTTTAATTTTTAACCCAATCTCTTATTTGATAATATTTTAAATTAAACATTTACATATATATATATTAAACCATAAATTAACATAAATAATATAATTTATTACCATAAAATAACTTAATCTACTAATTAATTTTTAACACTATTTCTCATTTACTAAAATTTTAAATTAAATTAATTTTTTTATAAAATATGGCAATTAGGGTTAGGATTTGGGTAGGATTAAGATTTAATTTGGAGAATAAGATAAATATGAGAGTTTTATTGATATTTTATTCAATTTTTGACCTTTGACTTAATATTTTTGCATAGCCCACTATCATTTTGAGAGAGTGTGGCACACCATACATTCTCTTTAAAGAAAAAATTAACCTTAACATTTTAGGCTAAAATATAAGAGAGTTTTCTACTTATATTTGAATATAGAGTGAAAAGTGTTTCGCGACCAAACCATAAAAGGATAAAGTGAATGTTACCCTTCTTTATATGATGTCATGGACTATTTTAGAGATCAACCAAAAATAGGAAAAGATTATAAATGTTATATTGTTAGAGACCAAACTATCTTTTTTTTCACCCGTCTCTATTTTTATGAGTGGCGCTAAATGCATCAATTAGTATACTAACTAGTGTACTAACACTAATTATGACATAATTATTGATCCTTACACATTATACAAATTACAAATACCAAAAATATCTTAAACTATGTCACATTATCAATTGGTACACTAGTTAATGCACTAATTGATGCATATAACATTAGTCTTTTTATATATACTTTTCATAATGGAACTTTTTAAAATATTTTTATAAATGACGTTTCATGGATTTTTTTAAAATTTTTATGTCCTTTATTTTTTATATTTATTAATTTTTCTTACACCATATAATTTAATTATAATTGAAAGTAAAAGACATTTAATTTTTTTTTAACAAATCCACGAAACATCATTTAAAAGCTTAGGTTAGATTATTGCCACATACGTAATTTTAATAAATTAAAAGCTTAAATTTTACTTAAATATCAACATTAAATATTGGACTAGATATTATACATGTATCTAATAGTACATAAAGTTATCACATGAGTTTTAACACCAAAAAATCTGGCATTTATCCCCAACCAAACAAATGGACACTTATGCCAATTATTTTTATGTGAAAAGACATTCGTCAACATAAATTCCCTCCTTAGTTTGATGCTTCATGTTTGATAATAACTTCAATTTGACACAAAACCTAGTACATATCTACGATCTATATAGTTGGAATCTCGTCTAGATTTCTCACTGTAATCCAAAGAAAACTTTTGTCACAGTTTGGAACAAAAACAACCTATGTTCTTGCCACTCCAATCCTCATTAGGGCAACATAGGCCATGAGCCTGTAACCTATGAGCATTACAGCCAAAGCCACCACCGACAACACTCGTCCATCGAGTCCCACGAGCTTTATAGAAGGCAACTCCCCAACCAAACAAGTCCCAGTGTCGCCACACGGGTATGTATCGGTGGGCTTGTATTGCGATCCCAACAAGAGCTTGTATGTGTATTGACTGATAGAAATGTACTTGATCCAAGATATGAAAGCCGGGACATGTTGAACATAGTACCCTCCGGCTAGAAGGAATGAAAGCATGATGACCGATCCAAGCGTTGTGGCCGATTTTTGGTCCATGACTGCAGCGCCAAGAGCGAGTCCTAGGCCTTGAGAAACTAGGACACTATAGAGGAGGACAAATAGGGTTTCCATGAAATTTTCTGCTTTGGGTTTGAGCCCGGCCATCCAGTACGTTATGGTGAGGAAAACTGTGGGGAGAACAAGCTCCATTGGTAAGTCACCAATGATCCTCGCCATGAAATATGAGGAGAGACGGTACATGCCCGAAGATCTTTCCTTTTCGAGCATCAATCGTTCTTGGGGGAAAGTGAAAATGGCTTGGAAGAGTGGGAAGAAGCCCCAAAATCCAGAATAGAAGAACAGAAGCCCTATCTGTATCAAAGCCAAGCATGGTTTTACGTATGATAAAAGAATGACAATTAGTCAGTTAAATAGGAGACAAAGTCGGTTATTTTGTTTCCAAAAGCACAAGAAACGAAAACGAATTATCAACAAACAAAGAAAACAAACACCCGAACCAAATTTTTAGGAAGAGTACTGCTATACATCAAAAATTGTTTTTGAATTTTCAAACACTATTTTGGCACAAAAATGGCCAAGATATGAAACCATTTGTGTTTTCAAACTTTTCATTGTTTGTTTCAAAAAACACAACAAACAAAAACAAAAAACCAAAAAATGAAGATACCAAACATGCCATCCCTACTGAATTTTCCTTCAGTTTTCAAAACAATGAAGCAAATTTTGTCAAGAAAAGTTAGTGTCAATGACCAATGTTAGTTAACAAATATTCAGAGAGAGTAAAAATATTGGTTACCTGATCTTGTAAGTGAGTTATACCGGATTGCCACCATAGGAGCCCCGAAAGGATAGCTACCACAAGGACTTGTCCAATCTTAAGGCCAGAGAATGACTCGTGTTTCCTTTCTTTCACTCCTCTTTTGAGCAAAACTGTAAACTGTTGCCACCAAGTTGTGGTCCACCTAGCACACTGCTTGTCTTCCAATCCCCTGCGAGGGCCCATGTCGATTTCTTGAACTTCTACTTTCAAATTTTCAGCAATGTTGTTCTTAAAAGCAGAAATCAAAACCTGCTTAACCACTGCTGGATCCTCCTGAGAATCATATGATGCAATACCTACAAAACAAATGTATTTGATCTTTAAACACACATCAATGTCACTACTATCACATTTCAAATTTTTACATAGTTGATATGAAGTTATATGGAATGTACATTGCAATATTGTTATTGATCACATTACCAGTGGGATCCACCTGATTGTGCCTATTTCTATTCTATTATGTGATTCAATTTTGTGCGACTACCACAGCTAAAAGCCAATGCCCCCTAACCGTAAAATAATTATATTAGTTGGATGCAGTCATGAGGAGCACATATACACTTGGTATTTCTATTATTTGTTTAAGATTATCTACATTTTGTTTGTTGATAATGAAGAACAAACGAAGTTTTCTCCAAGAGAAGAAACAGAGTACTAAGCCCACCAAAAACACAATATTGTGTCAACTACCACATCCCACATTCTTTGCAATCCCAACAACCAATGTAACAAATCCTAATCTTAAATAAATAACAAAAAACAAAAAACTAGAACCCATATTTAAGATATATATCGCACACTTACCATTTGCAAGATCCAACAGGAAATCAGAAGGATTCATGGCAACCGATGGCTCATATCCGATACTCGAGAAGTAATCCATGGCTTCTTCTCCCTTTCCAAAATACAAAGGATTGCCTTCCGATAACAGCAGCACCTTATGAAACATGTAAAACAGCCTACTCGAAGGCTGGTGTATTGTCATCACCACCGTTCTCCCTCCATTATTCGCTAGCTCCCAAAGCGTCGACACAATCCTTTGAGCAGTCGTTGAGTCAAGCCCCGATGTTGGCTCATCCAAAAATAACAAACTCGGATTAATAAGCATTTCTTGCCCTATGCTCACCCTTTTACGCTCTCCCCCAGAAATTCCCCTCAAAAAAGGCCCCCCGATAATGCTGTACCTGCACTTGGTCAATCCGAGTTGAGTTATAACAGCTTGGGCATAGACAATTTTTTCCAATTTTGTGAGAGTATTAGGTAATCGGAGAAGGGCTGTGAATACAAGCGTTTCTGTAACGGTCAAGTGCGGATAGAGGACATCGTCTTGTGTTACGAAACCGGTGTTTCGCTTTATTATGTTGGAGAAGGGCTCGCCATTGTAAGTAATTGTTCCTTTGAGCCGGCCACTGAGTCTGCCACCGAGTGCTGTTAGGAGAGTGGTTTTGCCACTACCGGAAGGGCCTAACATGGCTAGCATTTCACCGGGCAGGACTATGCCTGTGATGCCTTTTAAGATTGTTTTCTCTTCGGATTTTGACTTCTTTAGGAATCCTCCTTTTTCTGGTTTAACCTTGTACACAACATCTGCAAACTGTACAATTGATCCAACAATAATTTTAGTATGAGAACTAATGTAGAATGTTAATTCAGAAATAATTTTGTGAAGGAAAAAGAAAATATACTAGAACATCTGCTAAGGAAAAATAAAATAAGAAACTTAACAGATATTCAAGTATGAATGAAGATATAAAGATCTAAAACAGAGGAGAAGTAGTGATATATGTGAATAGAAAATTTATAGAGAATTATTAAACAAAATAATATGATTTATTATGATCTCATGATCTCTTCATTTAAAAACATATTGCTCGTCATTATGATTATAATTATCACTATGTTATCACTCCATTATTCTCATGTAAATTTTATTTAAAAATTATAGTGACATGGTAGTTTTCTTTAACAAAAACTTAAAATATAGAAAAGTAATCCCATATCATTTACCAACAATGCTACTGACTCTAAAAAAACATAATCCCTACAACCTCATTCATATGTGATTGGTCCAGAAATGAAAGAAAAAAAAAATACATAATTAATCTACATCATTTTAGAGTCATGAAGGTCTCTAAGTTTGAGAGTCTCAAACATTTTTATCATTTATTACAGGAGTTTTCAAGAATCTTTTTAAAACTATAATGAGGGTGGCCCTTCGCACATAGTGCCAAGGGGTACAATTGTTCCACTGTGACGTAAATGTCATGTGTTGAAACCATAAAAATAGTCACTCAGCATGAGCAGATAAAATAATGTGCATTAAAGTGTTAGAAGTTTCTTGTGCAAAGAGAGGGCCTTTTCACTTTTTAAAAACTAGCATATTAACTCGTGCGGGTTAAATAAATAATTAAAAATAATTTTAAAATAATTAAATTTTAATCATTTTATTAAAATATATATTACTGTTGTTATGTCACTAATTGTATATTTTAAATTCACAATATAAAATAGATATCATAATTTAATTGGTAAAGATGAAAAAAAATAGAATAAATTAATATTGCGGTTAAACTAGCAAATCAGTCAAACCGAAAATGATTTAGCCTAACCGGCTAGGTCAAAAGACCAAACAACTTATACAAAAATTAATTAATTAATTAAAACTTTTAAATGTTATTTAACTTTTAAAATTTAAACTATCTTGAATGATAACATGCACAACACTACAATATTAAATGAGAGTATAAGGTTCACTTTATATAAGTAAAACAACTTACCTTTTCTTTTTTTTTCGCTAATGTAGAATTATAAAATAAAAGTCAACAATTGTTTGGACGGAAATTTTATTTCTAATCAAGCAAATCTTAGTCATTCAATTTTTAACCAAATCAATCTTTAGTTCATTTCGAATCAAATAAATCTAACTAATATGTTTTAATAAAACCGCTAAAATTGTGATTAAACCAATGAATTAGTCAAACCAAAAATGATTCAGCCTAATCCGCTAGGTCAAAAGACCAATCATCTTATATAAAAATTAATTAATTAAAACTTCCAAATTTTATTTTAAAATTTAAATAAATTGTACTAAAACATGCACAACACTACAATATTTAATGAGAGTATAAAATTCACATTATATAAGTGACACAACTCACTTTTTTTTATTCTTTTTCGGATGTGAGATTATAAAATAAATCATAGGCTAATTAGAGTTTTTATTTTAAAATCTAAACTGTTTTGAACTAATAAACTATAGACAACACTATAATATTAAATGAGAATATAAGATTCACTTTATATACGTGAAACAACTCACTTTTTCATTAGAGTTTTATTTTTATATGACATAAATCATAAATTAATTAGAGTTTTATTTTTATATGATTAAATGGAAGCTATTAAATAGAGATTTTTTAAATTGTTTAAAATTAAGAAAATCAATATGAGAAATCGGGATTAAAGCAGCAAATCATTCTAACTAAAAACGGCTTAGCTTAATTGGTTAGGTCAAAAGACCAGCCAACTTATACAAAAATTAATTAATTAAAAATTTTAAATGTTATTTTAATTTTAAAATTTAAGTTATCTTGAATTGAAGCATGTACAACACTATAATATTAAATGAAAAAATAAGGTTCACTTTATATAAGTGAAACAACTCACTTTTTTTTCTCTCTCTTTTGGATTATAAAATAAAAGTTGATAATTGTTTGGGGAGAATTTTTATTTCTAATCAAATAATCTTAGTCGTTAATCAGATTGATTTTCAATTTGTTTCGAATAAAACAAATCTAATCAATATATTTCGCTAAAATTGCTAAAATTTCTCATTTGCCCATTCAAATTGAGAGGATAGTTTGGGCTTAGTGAACCCATTTTGATGACTTCAGTCATTCAAATCATTTATTTTTAAGATTTGTGAAATAAAATATTAATGAAAAAAAAAAAATCAACACAATCATATAGTAGTTATATGTTTAAATTATATTATACTACTTAAAATTTATGGTTATTATTCAAATTATACAAGTCTTCTACTTTTTAAATAAATATAATTTAAATATATAATTACTAATATTCAATAATTTTAATTTTTTATATTAATATTTTACTCTTAAAATTCTAAAAAATAAATGAATTCGGTCACCGAAGTGGTACAGGCCCACTAAATTTAATTGCTATCTAGAGAATCCAAACCCAAATTGGATCCCAAATGTTCAAGATGTATAATTTGAAGATAATTAGTATTTAATACTAGAAAAATATTTTTTTATTTTTAAATCATTTAAGATTAGCAAAAAAATACTAAAAATATTATGAATCACCCTTTTGAACCCATGACTATCCAAATTTGATTATACAATAGAAATTAAATTGATAAATATCTGGTTATGAATAAAATAAATTTAAATCATTAATTTTTTTTGGATACGTTTTGAGTCTGTAGTGTTGTTGAGAATATATACACAATCTTTCGTTTTTCTATACACGACGGATTCAAGAACATGAAACATTATCAATCCAAGAAGAAACAACACATGCATGTCTACATTAGATGAGGAGAGAGAGGGACCTTCAAAGTAACAGGACGATTAACTTTCTTGAAGACGGCGGCGGCTTCTCCGTCTGTCGTGGTCACCATCGTCGTCTGAGTTTGCACCATCTCCTCTTCCATTCTCGCTCTCTCTTTCTAAGATCAAAGAACCGATCTATCACTTGCTCTCATTCTTCTTCTGGGTCTTCTTCTATATATAGAAAAAGAAAAAGAAAAAAGAGTAATCAGGAAGTGTGTATGTTGTGTTGGTGTTACGTGTTTACGTTACTAGTGCTTCACAATAAATGATAGTGTTGGTGGGTTTGAATTCAAGAAGCCCTTTCAAAAAATGTACAGAATAAGAATATGATTACGTATATACTATTACGTATACGTACATGTATGTGTAGATACATGAACAATGTTGATTTTCATGAGAGAGAGATGAGAGGAGGAGGTGGGCGGTTGTGGGTTGTTCACAAGTGTCGAGCCATTCCCGGCTCTTTTAATGGGTTTGATTTTCCAACTCCGTCTCATTCTAGATGATTTACCGGCTTTCTAGTTGGAGATAAGTCTAGTTTTGGTTCGGTTAGTTTCATTTGCCTTATCATATATTTTTATCCTTATTATCATTATTTAAGTCATTTATCATTGAAAAAATTCCATTTTAGTAGGGTAGTGGAAAAAAAAAAGTCATGATGATACAAATTTTTTTTTTTTTTTTTGTGTGCATGATATAAATTATTCTTGTATTTGGTGCAACTCTTCTTGTGTGTTAGAATTGCACTAAAAAAAATTCTCATTTGTAGTGCAATAATTTTTTGATTGTTCCATGTATTTCTCTTTTCTCATTTATAATAATATTAAATTAAGAAAAATAATATATAAGTTTACTTTATACGCCCAATGATGTACAAATAAAAGGATTGGTTAAATATTCTAATTGGCTTTCATATTGTGCTTGAAAAATGTAGCATTACTCTTAAATTACTTCAATAATTATAGTCAAATGAGTTATTCAATTTATTTTTTTTAAAAAGGGTAAATCATACTAACTTCCTTTTATGTTTCAAAAAATATAGTAACTTCATAATTTTTGGGTGAGTTTCTTTTTAATTCATATAATACTGAATTTTCTTTTTTTATTAATATTTTGTTAATCATATGGATGAAAATATTATGTTATCATCTCTAAAGAGAAATCTGTGTAGTTTTACGAAATTTAGTTATCATTTTGAAATCAATTAGGTTTTTGTTTTTGTTAAAATAAATTACTATAGACAAAAATTTATATGTTGAAGGACTCAAATTAACACGATTTTGTAATATTAAACAATTAGCCGAAGGACTCGGTTGCATTTCCCAAATTTTTATGCATGTAACATCACGTGTCATGACAACATTTCCATGACACCTGAGAGGAGGAATGTTCTTTTCCAAAACGTGGTTTGGATTATGAGACAAAATAAATGAAGTCATAAATTGGGGATTTTAATGTATAAAAAACATTACAAAGAGTGAAGATACAGGAAGCCTTATATAGGCATAAGAGGGCCTGGGGTAGATTTCAAGTCAATACAAATATGGACATGATTTAAATAATAAAGCTATGTAAGGAAAAATCTATACATAGAAATAATATAACTCACGCCAACACTCCCTCTTAAGTTGGTACGTAAATATCTACTATGTGTCAATATATCTGCTAGTTGCTCCTCTGATTTAACAAATGGTATAGTCACCAAGTTTGTATCTAGCTTCTCTTTGATGAAATGCCGATCTACCTCCACGTGTTTCATTCGATCATGCTGAACAAGATTGTTTGCTATTTCTCGAGCAGCCTGATTATCACAATAAAGCTGCATAGAACTCTGTGGTTCAAAACCTATCTTCGTAAGCAACAATCGTAGCCAGAGAAGTTCACAAATTCCATGAATCATACCTCTATACTCAGCCTCAGTTGCGGAGCGAGAAACCACATTTTGTTTCTTACTACGCCATGTGACTAGATTACCTCCCACAAATGTGAAGTATCCTAATGTGGAACGTCGGTCTGTAATATTGCCTGCCCAATCCGTATCGGTGTATCCCTCAACCTCCAAATGTCCATGCTTTGGAATAGCAAACCTTTCCTAAGGACAGACTTCAAATAACTCAGGATACACATTACAACCTTCATATGATCCTTATTTGGAGAATGCATGTATTGACTAACAATGCTAACTGCATATGCAATATTAGGTCTAGTGAGCGATAGATAAATTAATTTCCAACTAGCCTTTGATATCTCTCTCTTTTCGTCGAGACTTGATTTGGACATATTCCCAGATGATGATTTTGCACAATAGGCGTACTCACGGGTTTACAGCCCAACATACCAGTTTCAGTAAGTCCAACACGTACTTTCGTTGTGACAGATAAATGCCACTACTAGAGCTGGCCAGTTCAATTCTCAAAAAATACTTCAAACCTCTCAAGTCTTTCATTTTGAACTCAGAAGCCAAATACCCTTGCAACTTTTGAATTTCATCAGTATCATCACCTGTAACCACCATGTCGTCAACATAAATAACTAACAAAGCAATCTTACCATCATTTTTGTTTTTTTTTTTCTTTTTTAATAAACAAGGTATGATCAGAATTTCCTTGATGATACTCATATTTCTTCATGGCGTTTGTAAACATCTCAAACCATGCTCAAAGAGATTGCTTCAAGCCATATAGGGCCTTACACAACCTGCATACTTTCCCTGATCTATTAATTATCCCATAACCAAGCGAAAAATCCATGTATATTTCTTTTTCCAAATCTTCGTGTAAAAAGACGTTTTTTACGTCAAACTACTTCAAAGGTCAATTCAAATTAGCTGCTAAAGATAGTAATACTCTAATGGTATTCATTTTCGCTACTGGCACAAAAGTCTCATGATATTCCACGCCACATGTTTATGTAACCCTTGGCTACTAACCTCGCCTTGTGTCTGTCAATCGTTCCATCAGCTTTGTGTTTGATAGTAAATACTCATCTGCACCCCACTAGTTTCTTTTCATTTGGCAGCAAGACTACATCCCAAGTCTCATTTTTCTGTAGGGTCGCCATCTCTATATTCATAGCATCTATCCATTTTAAATCCTTCAAAGCTTCCTCAACATTATTCGAGAACTTAACTGCTGTCATTTGATTCACAAAGGATTGATATCATGGTGACAATCTGTGAGTGGATACATATTAAGCAATGAAGTACCTTGTCTTTCCTTCTGGTGAGAATTTGTCAGGTGGATGGCCTCAATTCTGTCTTGGAGGCAGTTGATAAGGTTTGTCAACAATGGTAGGATTAGTAAAAATATTAATGTCTAAGTTACTTACCTCAGGGATATCTATAAGAGTATGAACAGGTACTAGAGAAGGGGAATCAACAACCTCAGTATTCGGAACAGCCACAGTCACAACGTGCTTCGGTTTGGATGCAGGAATATCTTCGTGTAAATTGGGTCGGCTTGTTTCAGCTGGAACCAAAACAAGGGCAGTGGTAGTGACTGGTATAGGTGAACTGTCCTTTGGTTCAGCTGCCATTGGCGTGTTGAACACTACTTATTCTCCATCTTCCAATGTAACCTCAAACCAATTAGGTTCTTTAAGTGTACTCAACTCCCCCTGAAGGACCTGATTAGACAAGGTAGGGTCAAAAAACATCTCATTTTCTAGGAATGTCACGTCCATGGTAACATAAAATCACCGGGTAGGAGGATGATAGTATCGATAGCCTTTCTGATGTGGAGCAAAGCCGAGAAAAACACAGTGAATAGCGCAAGGATCCAATTTGCTCCACTGATTTTTATAAAGGTGAACATATGCCACACACCCAAAAATCCACGGAGTAAGATTTAATGTAGACAACAGAGGCACGTGATGTGCCAAGGCTTCCAGAGAAGTGTGAAAATCAAGAGTCCAAGAAGGCATCTGATTCATCAAATAGACAACATTTGTAACAGCATCAGCCCAATATTGTTTGGGAATTAAAGCACCAATAAGCAATACCCGAGCAACCTCGAGAATATGTCGAGTCTTATGCTTCACAACACCATTTTGTTCCGAAGTCTGAGAATAGCTAGTTTCATGTATCATGCCATGGTCTTGAAAAAAATGAAAGAGCTCAGAATTAATACATTCCCCTCCGTTGTCAAAGCAGAAAACCTTGCTGGGTAGAGAAAATTGTGTTTTGAGCATTTGATGAAAAACTCGAAAAATTGGACCAACATCATTTTTATGTTTCATCACATACAACCAAGTCGTACGAGTACAATCGTCCACAAGGGTAACAAACCATCAAATACCAACATAACTAGTAATAGGGGAAGGACCCCAAACATCAGAGTGTATTCAAACAAATGGAACCGTACTTTTATTCAAACTCAAAGGATAAGAGACACGATGACTCTTAGCTAAAATACAAATACTGCACTTAAACTCAGAGTCCTTGACATCTTGAAATAACGAAGAGAGTAACTTGCGTAAATAACCAAAAGACACATGACCAAGACAACGATGCCACAACCAAATTTTTTTCATTTTCTTAGTCTCTGTCCCACACACTTGATGAACCCGACCTGCTACAACATCATCAACATAATATAATCCCTCTCTCTTAGTACCACGCCCAATGATCTCCCGAGTCTGGATATCCTGTGTCATGATCCTCAGATGAGATTAGAGCTTTTCCAACGGCATCTTTTGGGGATTCTGAGAGAGAGTTGAAAAATAAAGGACACACCCGGTACTAGATTACCAGAATGTTGCATAATAGTGGTGGTTGGTCTTGTGGTCGCAACTACCGCAACCTCGGCCACAATGTCAGTAACTTTAGCATGACTTGGACGTCCAGTCGTGCGCTTAGCTTTGAGTTGATTTCGACGCTCCAAATACCAGTCGGGAAACCTATGCTTCTTAAAGCAAGTATCAGCAGTATATCAAGTACCATTACAAAAAATGCAATGCAAATCATCTTTACTTTCGACATCAGAAAAACAAAGAGTACCAGGTATCGGGATGCCAGGGGCTTTAGATACCATGGCAACAGACGGAGTACCAATGGCACCTCCAGAGCAAAGCATAATAGTTTGTCATTGAGCCTTGAGACGGATATATGCAAAGAATTCCTCTAAGCCAAGAAGCGACTTGATCCGCAAAAAATCACTACAGACTTTATCAAATCCATCATCCAATCCTGCAAGAATGTCATAGACACGATTTTTCACAATTTCATCTCGACGAACTTTTATATCCGTAGCACAAGTCATTTTAACAGGACGACGCTTATCAAGCTCTTGCCATATGGTCTTGAGCTCGACAAAATACAAATGAATCGAACGACTACTCTGTTTTATACAAGCACTACAAGAAAAAACATTTTCTGTGACCAACATTTTGGTCGCGAAAAGTAGCATATTTGGTCGCTAAAACCTTTTCGCAACCAAAATGTGTTGGTCGCGAGTTGGTCGCTAAAGCCTTGTCACATATAGTTTTCTGCGACCAAAAAAGCCTTTGGTCGCTAAAAGTGACCATTCACGACCAAATTTTTTGGTCGCGGAAAGTCCAATTCATATTAGTCAAAAGTAAACTTTTAGCGACCAAAGATAAGTTGGTCGCCAAAAGTCAGCGCCTTGACCCAAAAAAAATAAATCTTTTGTGGCGCCTAGGGCTTGAACTTCTGACCAAGGAGCCACCATGCACCCAATCCACTCTGCCAATAACATGCTTCTTGTTCATATTCGGCAAACAATATATATAATCCATAAAAATTGGGTTATATGTTATTTCATAAAACTTTTAATGCCTAAACAAAAAAATAGCATGTAATTATAGTAATATCATTTTTTTTGAAATTTATCCTGCCATAACTTTCCGCGACCAACTTTTTTTTTGGTCGCCAAAGGGTAATCTTCCGCGACCAAAAAAAACTTTGGTCGCCAATAGTATACTTTCCGCGACCAACTTTTTTTTTTGGTCGCCAAAAGGTGATCTTCTGCAACCAAAAAAGCCTTTGGTCACCAATAGTATACTTTCCGCGACCAACTTTTTTTTTGGTGGCCAAAGGTTAATCTTTCGCGACCAAAAAAGCCTTTGGTCGCCAATAGTATACTTTTCGCGACCAATTTTTTTTTTGGTAGCCAAAGGATATACTTTCTGTGACCAACTTTTTTTTTAGTCGCCAAAAGATGATCTTCCGCAACCAAAAAAGCCTTTGGTCGCCAATAGGTATACTTTTTGCTACCAACTTTTTTTTAGTCGTCAAAAGGTGATTTTCCGCAACCAAAAAATTGTGGTCGCCAAAAGTTAAATTTTGGTAGCAGAAAGTGGACTATTTGAGACAAAAAAAAAAAATAGGTGGTCGCCAAAAGTGTTTTTTCTTGTAATGAAGTGGCTTTACAATGTAGTACGTAAATCTGTGATTCATCCGATCCATCATAGTACATTTGAGAAACACCGTCCCAAACTTCTGTCGTAGTCGGTAGGCCAAGAAAGAGACCAAGTAAATCAGGCTCCATGGTTTTCACTAACCATCCTTTGACAATGGCGTTCTCCTTACTCCACTTTGCATAACCAGGATTAGATTTTTCCACTTGAGAAGTCTCACCTATCAAGTAACCGAGCTTGCCTTGCCTAGTAGCATGCAATTCCATCATCTAAGACCAAATAGTGTAATTGGAACCATTCAATTTGATTCCAAATAGAATGGTAGAGGAATCACTCTGGATAGTCACCACAGGATTAGGGTTTCCACCAATTGTCACAGCAACTTGCTGAGAACTATCATCTGTCATGATGATCGGGGTATGTAGGAGGTAGAGTTTGTTTGGGGATTAGGGTTAGGGCAAGCAAACCAAGACCTAAACTGGGTTAGGAATCTCTCTAATACCAAGACAAAATAAATGAAGTGATAAATTGGGGATTTTAATGTATAAAAATCATTACAAAGAGTGAAGATACATGAAGCCTTATATAGGCATAAGAGGACTTGGGATAGACTCCAAGTCAATACAAATATGGACATGATTTAGACAATAAAATTTTGTAAGGAAAAACCTATACATAGAAATAATACAACTCACGCCAACATTATGTGTGTGTGAAGCCTCTCCATTAAGGTGTATCAACTAATAAGGACTTGACTTGTCAATAGTAAAAATGGATCTAAAAGCTTTGCATGCAGCTTCTTATTGCCCTAAACGAGATTCATGTAATCCCACTCATGAGCTTAACTTAATTGTTCTTTGACCATCCTAGATAGAGATCCATTTATTTGCAAGAACCTTCATTATGTGGTGTCATTGAGTAATTAAGAGATGAACACGTGCAAAATAAATAAAAGAGTGGTAGTGCAGCACAAAGACAAAAATCATTCATAATTATCTTTTAAAAAAAAACAGAATAACTTTTCTCCCGACATTTGGGTTTGAACGAGAGAAAACAGTCCAGCTCAAATAAATTTTTAAAAAGTCAAATTTAAATTGTTTATAAGCTATTGAATTTTGTTTGCAGTTTTAGGTTTGATGGAACTTACATGCCTCTTATTGAAAGTGTAATGAAGAGAATTTGAGCTCAAAATTAAAAAGTTTGTAAATATATCTACTAAAATTCTCTTTATATCCACCACATTATAAACCTTGTGCTTTATGAAGAAACACCTGTTGGTAATATCAGAGAAATTTGGCACCACTGTAATGAGAAGCTCCCACAAAATTAATCATATTCATTCTGATTGTAAGTTCAATGATTTTGAAGTAAATATGAGTTCCACATTAATTTTTTTTTTTTTTTTTTGATGGTTGCTTTTTTAATTCCTCATTTTTAAAATAGTTTTTATACAACTTTCAATAGATTAGTGAAACGAATAGAAAATTTATACAAAATACTTACACATAATGATTTGGATAAATTTTTCACTTCAAAATAAAGAATCTATTTAGATGACTTTAATTATATAAATAATAGAAAAATGATATATAAGCCTACTTTTTAAATTCACTTTTTAGATTCAGTGATATGTCAATAAGATGATTGATTAATAATTAGATAATGAACAAGAGAGATAATTGACTTAAATATTTAATAAAATATCACATTATTTAATCTAAAAAGTGAGTCTAATTTTTAAATTTGAATAACAATACTCTAAATAATATTGTTACATTACTCAGCACAATATTCTATATAAAAGTTGTAATGGGTTAACATTTTCTTTTTCAATATTAAACATTTCCCATTTTTTTATGCATGTACCAGGACATGTCACGACAACCTTTCAGTGATACCTGAGAAGATGAATGTTCACTTCAAAGCATTGGGTTTAGATTAAGTGTGCGAAGCCACTCCATTAAGGTGTATCATCAACCAATAAGGACTTGCCATGTCAATAGTAAAAATGCATCTAAAAACCTTTGCATGTAGCTTATTATTATAGTAAATGAGATTCATGTAATACCACTTAATGAGATTTATGTCATTACTCCCAATTTTTTCAAAATTTCCACGGGCTTAACTTAATTGTTCTTTGACCATCATAGATAGGGATCCATTTATGAAAGAACTTCCTTTATATGATGCCATGGACTATTTAAGAGATCATCAACACATGCAAAATAAATATAAGTGTGATGTCATGGACTATTTAAGAAATCAACAAATGCAAAATAAATATAAGTGAGTGTATCATAAACACAAAAATTATATAGAATTGTCGGACGAAATATAAATTGGTCTTTCTCCCATTCGAGTAACAAATTTAAGCCATATCAAAACAAAAATTTAATTACAAGTTTAGATTTTTTTTTACCCATTAATCTATTTATTAAAAATTGTGTTTAGGATTTTTTTTACTTGGATCTAATATTGGTTTTATAAGTAAGTTGACAAAATCTAAACCAATAATTTAGGGGAAAAAAATTGCCAAATGTGGTTAACTCGGCTATTTAGATTGGGCGTTCAATTCGAGCTTCCAAAAGCACTACAAGAAAAATGAGTTTTAGCGACGTAATATTTAATGACGTTTTTTAAACGTCGCTTTTTTTAAAATCAAAACGGCGCCGTTTCAATAACAAAGGCGTTTGAAAACGCCTTCGAATGTCCTATCTCTCTCTCTCTCTTAAATGCGCGAGCGGTGAATATAAAATGTAATACATAGTTTGTAGCCCTAATCTCACTCACTCACCCAGTCTTTCTCTCGCACTCTCTCTCTCTCTCTCTAAGCCGTCTCAACGGATCGATTCATCTCTCGCTGTAGCCCTAATTGAAGTTCTCTCTCTCGATTCATCTCTAAACCCTATCTTTCTCACAGATTCATCTTTGAGATTCAAAGCGATTTCCATTTCGAAGCTCCATCGTCTGCACCGGCTCGATTTCTCTGATTCGATTTCATCTGACTCTGTAATTTCGATTTCGATTTCGAAGCCCCATCGCCACCACCATCTGCACCGCCACGCCATCTGCACCAGCGAGGTATCTCTCTCTCTCTTAAATGCGCGAGCGGTGAATATAAAATGTAATACATATTTTGTAGCCCTAATATCACTCACTCACCCAGTCTTTCTCTCGCGCTCTCTCTCTCTCTCTCTAAGCTGTCTCAACGGATCGATTCATCTCTCGCTGTAGCCCTAATTGAAGTTCTCTCTCTCGATTCATCTCTAAACCCTATCTTTCTCACAGATTCATCTTTGAGATTCAAAGCGATTTCCATTTCGAAGCTCCATCGTCTGCACCGGCTCGATTTCTCTGATTCGATTTCATCTGACTCTGTAATTTCGATTTTGATTTCGAAGCCCCATCGCCACCACCATCTGCACCGCCACGCCATCTGCACCAGCGAGGTATCGATCTCTCTCTCTCTCTCTCTTAAGCTCTTCCTTCTCGTCTCTCTCGATTTGGTTATTGAAATTGTAAGCAAGACACTACAAGTTGATTTGTGTCTGAACACATCCTTTTCTTCTTTTCTTCACTCTCTGCTTCGTTGAACTAGATTTAAGTATTTGCTTGAAGCCCGGATGAGAGAGAGAGAGGAGGAGGAGGATGAGGAGTTGATTTGTATCTATGTTTCGGAAAAACTTTTATACAATAATTTCAGATTTGATTAATCCTTAACTTACCCTCTGTACATGTTCATGGGCTTTTCAATGCTTTACTTGCCCCTTGCTATGCGGGTTCCACGGCAATCCATTCTATTTCATGTTCATAGTTGTTTCACAAAGTTGGTTTTCAATTTCAAACTTAGGTTGCTTGTTTAAGCTAAAACAGGCCTGCCTTTTATTTGAAGTTCTATTCTGTTGTAGCACTTTTGATTCTTGTGGATTGGTTTTATTTATTGAAGGTTGAGTTCATTCCAAAATTTAGTGTGAGGGCAATCTGGCAGAGATGGCGTGAATCATATCCGAAAGATGGGACTAAGGCGGATGATGCTATAATTGTGTTTACGGGAATAAGTCGAGTATTTTATGGCATGAATTAAAATACTATGTTCTGTGTGGTTCAGTGATTGTTGTTTATATTTGCCAATTTTCTCACTACCTATGGCCCAATTTGGGACTTTGTTTTTAAGGGTTTTTCTGTTTGGTTTTTTCTCATGAGGGAACACTTGGGACAAAGTAATATTTTATTTAAAAAAACTATGAAGCATTTATGGCCCATAATGTGTTGATTCCAGATTTCATAGGATTGTCGTAATGTTATTGTTGTAATGCTTTTTGTAATATGTAGGTTCCAACTATGTATACTCGATTGATACAAGGTTATGAAGCAATGGATCCAGAATTACAAGAGGTTTCTGCCTCAGCTGCGAGCAAGTTGCGTCTCATGGTAATCAGCTTGCAACACCTTCTTTCTCAGGAAATTTTGACCAAAATCCAATAGCCAAGACTACTGTGTGTGGAGAGGGATAACACGTGACAATGTTACCTTCAATGTCATTGCACTGTATGTGTTTCCCTTCCCTTTGTTAACAATTCATTACCTAACATTGCTTTTTCCTTTTTTCTTTTCTTTTTTTTAAGTCTATAAGACTTTACTTCCTTTCATAGTGGTTCAATTCAACTATGGTTATGAAATCACATACTATTATTCTTGTCAGTTTTGATGTCCTTGGCGTTTTCTCTTTTGGGCTTCATGGTGTTCAAAATGTTGACTTTTTGGTTGGTTATTCGAACGTTGTAGCAATCTCTCAGGTTTAAATCTTGATGGGGAAATCTCACCTGCGATTGGCGACCTTAAAAGTCTGCTCTCTATGTATAATTTCTTCACTTGTATTGTATCCCCCCTTCTTTCTTCTCTATTTGTCATTGTATTTGTACTAAATTCTTTCTGTACAGTACATCAACTTTAATGGGTTTTTATTTTGGAAATGATTGTAATTGCACTGTCTTTTGAATAGTGATATGAAAGGAAATCACCTCTCAAGACAAATCCCCGATGAAATTGGTGACTGCTCCTCTTCGAAAAGCTTGTAAGTGTTTTATATTTTTGGAGACAATAGTTCAGTTTTGCCACTAGTCTGCAGCATTTGAAGCTCACGCTCACTGACTTTTATATTACTCTCTGGTGATATCCATTTTATCTACTATACACCAATTGATATGAAATTTGTTATTGTTAGGGACCTATCATTCAATGAGTTATATGGGGACATACTGTTTTCAGTTTCAGAGTTGAAACAACTAGAACACCTGTAAGTCTCTAGACAACCTCATGTTCATGTTTAGTCCCTTACTGCGCTAATTCTGTCTTGTATAATTTTTTTTCTTCCCTTCTTTGGAATGGGTCTCCCCAGAATTTTGAAAAACAATTAGTTACTTAGTCTAATTCCCTCAACCTTGTCCCAAATTCCAAATTTAAAACTCTTGTAAGTCCTCTTTCTACATTCTCTTCTCATTTAATTTCTAGAATGATGACTGGGATGCATATGTTTTAATATATTTATTCTAGAGACCTTGCACAGAATAAATTGAGTGGGGAAATACCTAGGCTTATATACTGGAATGAAATTTTGCAATATCTGTGAGTATACTTCTCCTTCCATTTTCTCAGTTATCTTTTCCATATTGGCATTTTTATGATTTCCTATGTTTTTCACATTGTGAGTCGGAATTCTTATGAATTTGTGCGTATGTATGTTTTTATTCTTAACTTAAAAGAGGTTTGCAAGGGAACAATTTGGTTGGTACTCTCTCTCCTGACATGTGTCAGTTGACAAGGTTGTGGTACTAGTAAGTTTTTGATCACTTCATTCTATTTCTTATTGCTCCTTGTGTTTTCTGTATCTTGGGTCATTTTGTGATATAGTTTACCATTTTGCTTCAACATGCAGTGATGTAAGAAATAATAGTTTGATTGGTAGCATCCCTCAAAACATAGGCAATTGCACCGCCTTCCAGGTCTTGCATGTATACCATCTAATGCAATTGCGACAAATTCTGGATAAACGCTACTATGTCTAGTCCAAGAATGTTTAATCACTTTTGATTGGTAGGGACTTGTCTTACAATCAGCTGACTGGAGAGATTCCTTTTAATATTGGGTTCTTGCAAGTCGCTACATTGTATGTATATAGAAGTCCAGTGATTTAATTTCTTATTATTTATTTACTTAAAAAATTGCTCTGAATTTTATTTTGCATGCTAGATCTTTGCAAGGTAATCAACTCTCAGGAAAAATCTCATCGGTGATTGGCTTGATGCAGGCACTTGCTGTGTTGTAAGTGCTTTGTAAATTCTTTCAATTCTAGGAAATTTGACCTATCCCTCCTATTCTAGGAAATTTGACCTGCACGGAGAAATTGTGAGTATTTGCTTTGTAATTCTTTCAATTTTCTTCATTTTCTTGATCGATTTGCATTTCAAAGATGCATACGTCATTTTGAAAATAGCTGATAGTCTTTTGCTACATATGACAAACTGCTGAACTGTCGTTAAACTTCCATTCATCAATTTATATTTGTATTAATTTAATGTGAACAACAAACAACATCATTACATTACATGATACTTAAAATGTATATTCTACTCCGTGATCTAATTGTCAACTTTCTAATTCCGATATCGGATGTTGTAGGTATTTGCATGGTAACAAGCTGACTGGGCCCATTCCCCCAAAGCTCGGAAATATGACAAAAATCCACTATCTGTACAAATTCTTTTTCATTATCCAAGCCTGTTTCTGTTAATTGATCTCTATTAATGTTTCTTTAACTGGAAATATTGTGGAATATATATGCATTTTGTCTTGGACAATCAGACTATGATAGTAAGATCTCATGGCTAGAATGAACTACTCATGGTCGCTTCTGCCATCAGCCCCATTTGAGGGGTTGGTTGAGACTTGGGAACAACATTATACCATGAGTAGAATTCACCAAAATCCATGATCTGAGTTCTATCCAATCCGAGAGTAATATGAAAATAAGGGTTTTTAAGATCTATATTAATATTATACCATGTACTACCTTAAGAAATTTTTTATTTATCCTTTTTATATAATATATTATTACAATATCATATATCAATCAGATTGATTTACTTAGATTAAAGTTTGAGTCAGATATCAATCAGTAATCTCACCGATTTTTCTTACAGGATGGACAAGATGCTAAAGATCTAAAGCAAAGCACTGCTGATATGACAGTTTTTGTAAGTCGCGTGATATGTGGTCCTCTCGATAAGAATTTTTGTAACTATGTGGCTTTCATCTTGCCATGGTGAGGTGATACTTTTTTGGTGATATGAAGCATACTTCAGGCATTTGGATTTTTCTGCTCTTATTGTGACAACTCCTTTGTTCAAATGCATAATACATACATAATACATAACATATATTGTTTGTTCACATGCATAATTCATACATACATATATACTCTTTGCTGTTGGAGCACATAATGTTATTGTAGACCTTTTTACTTGTCTGCATGTGAAAAGGTGATGATGGAGGATGAATATCACTGGATACTGGCTTGGTCTCAAATCAATTCTTTTGTTATTAATCAGTATATGAATTTATCAAATCTGCAGCTTTTGGGCGAACTTAACCTGCGAGGTTTGAGAGCAGATGGTGATGACGGTATGTCAACTGAAATTTCAATAAACTTGGATCATGTTTATTTCCAACATTTTCTCCTTCCTAAAATCCATGGTGGTGGTGATAAAATATTTGATGTGCACAAAGAATCTTTATGTAGATGCCAAGATAGGACTTATTATGGATTCTAATTTACTTAATTCTTTATGTTTAATGTGTTTCATATATTGTGGTATCTCTGACTATGGATTCCTGGTTCTTGTCATGCTTTCATATTTATCAGGTCCAGAATAAATATTGAATCGTTTTATTATCATTTGCATCTTTCTGTAGGGTGCTGCTCATTATGGTGATGAGCTATACTTTGTACCAAATAGGATTTCTATTGTTTCAATCTGATGAATCTGTAAATTTTGTGATCTTCGAGATTAATTGTTCAATAGATACTAAATGTGGCAGTATTGTTCCATGCAGATCATTATCTTCTCTTTGACTTCCCTGGCCAAGTAGAATTATTTATTATAATATATTATCTTCTCATGTTCAATTCTAAACTTTAAGTAGTCTTAATTAGAACTGAAGTTCCACTTGTAGTGACTCTAACCAGTATAGTTGATGGGTGTCATGCTTCAGGCTCTTGATCTAACTGTGGATCTGAGTGCCGCTAGTGCTGCTGCTGAAGAATGAATGAATGAATGAACTTTTTGGGTCACACATCCATCCCACAAGAACAGAGAGAATAGAGTTCAAAAGAACATTCCCTTTCCATGATGAAATTCTTTTGAATGCAAATGATAGCAGTCCTTAAAAACACATTCTGCACTTTCTCCACAAAAGACTTTTATTTATCATTCAATATTACAAGAAGAGATTCTTTTTTCTGGATTATACATTGGATTATTCAAGTATGGCTAAACTTTTCTAAGGGAGTAGCAACGGTCAAGAAAAAAACTAGAGGTACAGAAGATGCATTTGGCCATTGTTTGTTCCACACACAATATGCTTTTGTCACTTTAATTTTCATCCTCCCTTCTTTGTGATTGGCTATATGAATGCATTTTTTCTGTTTTTACTATATGTGTTCAGCATCTGAGAATGCTTTCAAAGGAATTCTGACCAGTCTTCCCAAGGCAGGAGGTGGTGAGTTTGGAAAGTTCTATAGCATACCAGCACTGAATGATCCAAGGATTGAAGAGTTAGTGCATTGAAGAGTTCTGCATTTTGGTTTTTTTATTAGAACATGATAATTGTTCTAATAATTGTTCATAACCTCTAAGATTGTAGGCCTATCTAGAAGCTTCCCATTATTTTTATTTCTAGGTTTTTCTTTTTTTTTTTGGTTTTTGTTTATCACAATTTTTTTGTTAGCTCCAGCATCTATAGAAAAATTTCTGTACTTGCGCTAACTTATAGGAATTAAAGTCAATTTATTCCATTGTTAGTTTATTTTATATTGTGAGCATGTGGTTGTGATTTATTCCATTTTCTTTTTTCTTTCTGTCGCTATTCAGCCTTGGGAGGAAAGATTGAAGAGTGCACATGAGCAAGGAACACTTGTCCACCTTTCAAATTTGGATCCAGAATATACTTCAGGAGAAGCGGAGGTAATGTCCGTATTATTTGGCAAGATCGATATATTGTGCATGACTCCTGTGTCAGTTTTCTTTCACAATTTTTATTGCACATCTAGATTTCTACAATGCTTCAATTAAGGGTGGGTGAATTTATCATCATTACTATTGCAATCATATAGTAGGTGTTCTTTTGAAATTATGGAGAATATTCTTTTGGAGAAAAATACTTTTAGTTTCACATTTTTGGTCTAGACATGGTCAAATGACCCCAATTTGGCAGAAATGCATAATCTACAGATTGTTCCCGCTTAATCTCCAATAATGTTGAATTTATTCTGCAGATGGCTCTCCCTACAATCATTAAGTGACATTAAGTGGAGAGTTATCAAGTTTTGTTTTATTTTTTTTGTTTTTATCATAGTTGATGACTACTAATGATGTACTTTGGGGTACCTAATGAAGTTCAAATACAAGACCTACATACTACATTTCTAAAACATATTCTTGCCATGGGATCATAAGCACCTTAAACAATATACTGTGACCCCCCACCCCATAGCACACAAATAGTCTCTACTTTCTCTACTGTCTCTATCAATTTTGAAAAATGTAGGTAATTCCAAATAAGGGGAACAAAATGTACTTAGTTCCCCTCAAACCTGTTCATTCCTAATCTCATACTTCCCAAATGTTCAACTTCCACAGCTATGTCATCAACTCATTTCACAAGGCCTCTAGTGGGATATAATATTGTTATGAACAAGTAGCAACAATAAAGGCATAGAAAGACATTTTTTTTTTAAATTCTGTCTCTTAATTCCTTGTTTGGCTAATGTGAATAAGATTCATTTATCATAAGTTGACATCTTGACAGCTCTTGATTCTTTGGCAAATATGGATATATTTTGATGGCTTAGACTCTTTGAGGAAGAAGGGAGGCATTTCTTTTTTCTTTTTTGACATTTTTGCCAAAGAATGTCAAAAAGGTGGGAGTTTTTTTTTTCTGTTCATTTTTTTTTTGGTTTTATTATGCTTTATGATACAAAAAATAATATGAAATTGGGGTTTGCATGTATGAGTTCCAGATACAATATGGATCAATTGGCTGGGCTGTAGGTGTGACTCTTGGATATGCACTGACTGCACAGAATAAGCGAGTGATTGCTTCCATTGGTGATGGTAGCTTCCACGTGATTATGCATACATTTCAACCTTCATTGTATATAATATAGTTTTGATTTTTGTAAATTCGCCGAATCTTATGAATACTGTATTGGATATACTTCCTACGTTGATGTTTGTGTATCTTCATCTTATGTCACCTAGCATGCACAATATGAAGGATTATAAACTTAAGGGATTGCAGTAATGGGATTTACTGCTCTGAATTTGTCCTTGTTAACACCTATTTTGGTGAATGCTTGGCAGGTGACAGCACAAGATGTGTCAACAATGCTGAGATGTGAACAGAGGACCATCATCTTCCTTATAGAACCCGAGAATTTTTGTTTCTTAGTGGATGCTTTCATAGTACTTGCATGTATAATTAGTTTGAATTTTGTGCCGATTTGTTTTGTAATAATTTTTAACTTACCACTAGGCACTAGTTTAACTTTATTTCATCTCGGAATTGAAATATTTTTGTATATTGAGAAACATGAATTGATCTAGTATTATGTTTACCTAAATTTAGTCAATATATTATATATTTTTCATCTTTATAAAAGGTATTTTTTTTAAGTTAAATCTCACAGAACTAGCACAAATTTTTTAAAATTTTTTTTTTAATAAAAAAAATGAAGCTATAACGGCGTTTTTAAACGTCACTATAGAATACCAACGGTTATATTTTTAAAATAGAAAAGATCTATCACGGCGTTTTTAAAACGTCGCTAAATGTGGAGTGACGTTATTGTATCATTAAGAAGCACATTTAGCGGCGTTTACTGATATAGCGACGCTTTTAAAGCGTCATAAAGTTACAGCGACGGCCGTATCTTCGGCGTTTAGTATTAAACGTCACAAAAACAATTAGCGGCGTTTTTAATACCTATGGCGGCGTTTTTTAAACGCCACTAAAAGTTACCCTATCTGTGGTTGGGATCTATGATTTATATCGAACATGTTCTATGCTCTATTACCGAACTTTTATAATCGGCTCTGCTTCGCAGTACGAGCACAAGTACGGATACGAAATGTGTGTTTGAATATTTTCATAGTTTCTCTCCTTGATGCTTCTTGGTTTTATTTCACTTTGTTTTGTATAAGTTTTGGGTTGGATGAACTATTTGTAAGTGCAGTTCGGCTTTCTTGAATGAAATTTTCTTCAAATAAGAAAATTAAAAAAAAACACTGCAGAGGAGCTCAACTCTACAATTCATTCAATTAGCCATGAAATATTGTACATTTGAAAATATTCATGTAAATTTATTTTGCACAAAATAATATATATATTTTTTTATTTTTTAATAGTTGGTTGACACTTCAAACAAAATGCATTGGGCAGAACTCAATAAAGAGCAACCATTTCACCTTTAAAATATCAATATTTCTAAAAGTGCTCAGCTAGAAGTGAACCTCCTAAAAAAAATTTATTATGAAAATTTTAATTATAAGTAATTTTGAAAACTATGACAAAAAAATTGTTTTTCTTGAAAAATATTTACTTATTTTTTTATTTCAACTCTACAATTTTTATATGTAAAAAAATACTTTGAAGGCAAGCATCGTCTAAAAACACACTCTTTTTTTAACATCGATAAAAATATTTCAAAGACACAAAGTCCTTAATAATTGGTTGGGCTAACCCAACATCGTCTTAACTGGGTAAATGGGCTTAGTCCAACTTGAACACTATGAAAGCCCATGAGTTTGACGACCCAATCTTTTGGATTTTTTATTTGAACACTATGTTCCATGTGGGCTTCATGTTAATTCGGCCCAAATACTATTAATAATAGGTTTTTGTGACTTTATTTTATTCAACAAAATGGATTAAAAAAAAAAGAAAAAAGAGTCAAATATAAAAGAAGGCGCAAATTACGTGGTAGATTTTATGATTTAATTTACTTTTATTAATATGGTATCTATTTATCGACATGAATAACCTAATAGCTAAGGATATATAAGAGTTTGATAATGGTGTAATTCTAATATTCAACTCTCATACAATACAAAATACTCGAGCTTATTTGATATATGTGATTTTCAATTAATTACATATATTTAAAATTTACTCATAAAAGCTTATACTTGCTTATTATACCTTTAGATTTCTAATAGTTGTGCCAACATAGAAACACGATCCTCCAAGCTTCACCAAACTGATCATGTATACATACACATATGAACTAAACCTAGCAAAAATAAATAAATAAATAAATAAATAAATAAATAAAAATTGAAGAAATTATGGGCAATGAAGAAAGTTATAAAATCTCTAACGATAACTTAGTTTGTCAGTTGGTTTATTCCCTATATGTCCAACTTAGATTCAACTCTTGTCAGTTCTTTCTATTTGTCCAAATCATGCAATTATGGAGGGTTGTTTGATCCTTAAGTTTATACTCTTAGAATGAAGTCAAAAAAATTCTACCCTACTTAAAACACAATTTTCAAAACAAAATATGAAAATCTTTTTTTAAATATCTCCTAAAACTATATAATCAAGTTTTGTAACCTGACAAATAAGTCAAATGCACCCATAGATATTGACATAAAAATCTTTTAAGTGAAGAAGAAAAAATAAAATCCAAAAGATTATATTCCAAACACGCCGCAAAGTCGAGCAACAGACATTCAAATGATCAGTTGTAAGGGACGAGTTTGAAAACTTTAAATGGCCAATTATTTAAATAAGACAAAAAAAATTACATTAACAAATCTCCAGTACTTCACGTTTTAGGTTTTTGGAGACTGATAAGAACCCAATTTTTATGTGATTGACCCATAATTAAAGGGTTCACAAATACCTTATAATATATGTTCACTAGAACAAAAAAAAAAAATAAAAACAAAAGTAATGCTATAGAAAAATAATAGTATGTAAAATGTTCATTAAAACGGTATTGTTGAATTGGGTACTTTTTTATATTAAAAAACATATATCAAGATGACTCTTATATCTTTCTATAATAAAATAAAATATATATAATAATAAAAAAAAAAAAGAAAAGAAAGAGAGATGACACTTAAATCTTAATTTTAATAATATTATCGTTATATAAATCTGAATGTATTTCATATATATATATATATATGAATCCAACTTTTCTCGGGTTGGGAGTGAAGATTGGATTGAGTTGTTGGGTTTTTGTAGGTGCACCAATGGTCCATTTTAATGATTCAGACCCTTTAGATGTTTGACCCCTATGCGTAGATATTCATAAAAAATTTAAAATGATTTGATAATCATAATCATAAAATTTAATCATTGTTGTCTTAAAAAAAACAATAATTTCTTTTCAAAATCATTCTTATTGTCCTTTTCTTATTAAAAAAAAATATGTGTGATAAAATTTTATGGCTATAATATTAAATTAATCTAATTTTTTTATTATTATAAACAAAAAATGAATGAATGAGATTATTAAAGTAGACCTATGGTAGGCCTACACGATACGGTTCAATTTTCTATCCTAACTAGAGAGAGGTGAGACCTTTCTGTGAAAGTAGACTTCTCAAAAAATAATCTTAGCTGTAGTTATTCCAAACAAAAGCGTAAAGGCTTAAATTTAAGATCAAGGGATTGGTTTGGTCGAGTTTTGCTAAATGTGATGTAACTTTTTTTTTTCTCTTATTGTTCTCTTATTGATTATTAAAATAAAAATAATAATAATAAATAAAAATTTAGGATGAAATTGTAAACCACAATAGTTGATGCCATTTGCTGCAGTTGATTTCAGCCGCATAATCTGGATATTGCTTCCTTTGATTGAAAATGGACAAGTGAACTTTATATATTTCTAAGACTTTTTTTTGTGAAAGTAAAATATTTAAGGAAAATTAGAAGTTAATAGGACAGTAAAAAAATAATTATACTATGAATGAATTTTTTTTGGTAAAATTTTGACACAGAGAAAGGAGTTGCATCAAATTCAAGAAGAATTTACATCATGCACAAAGAACATTTATACCACTATAAAAATGTAAATATTCTTTCACTGTCTTGTAGCTTCCCAATTTTACCAATATTTTTAGTCCCTAAACATTGTCTCAGCCTGTGTTTGGCATGTGGGTTGTGGGCTAATTTAGTCACAAACTGACAAAATTGGCTAAATTTGCCACAAACGGACAAAACACAAAAAGTCTCTGTTTTGGAGCATAACTTCCACACAAAGAGGGATGAAATTACCAATTTACCCCTGGGCTATTTGGGCTACTCTAAAAGAAGACTCCAATGTCAACCTTTTCCCCCCCAAAAAAAAAAAACACGTTTTCCCAGAAAACCAAAGAAAGTTGAAAAAAAAAATTTAAAAACATTTTTTTGTTTTTTGTTAAAATATTTTATAAAAATAAATCCAAACTCTATTTATAAAAATATTTTTAAATATTTTAATTTTTTTAAAATTATGTATTTGATTATTTTTTGAGTGTAGAGTTGTGAAAGTAGTATGAAGTTTCGAGTTATGTGTTTGGTTATGAGTTTTAAAAATAATTTTTTAATTGAGTTTTGATTTATGTGTTTGGTTACGATTTGAGTGTTGAGTTGTATTTTGAATTTAAAATATTAAAATTAAAATATTTAAAATAAAAAATTTAAAAATATCTAAATAAAATTATATATTTAAAATAAAAAAATAAAAATTTCTTAAACATTTTTTAATGTTTTAAAAAAATAGATCCATAAAATTTAAAATACAACTCAAAATTCAAAAACTAAAAACTCAAAATACAACTCAAAACTCTTTTCAAAATTCAAAATTTGTATACAAATAAAAAAATTACAGAAACTAAATTTAAAAAAAAAAGAACGACAAAAATACGCCTCATCCAAAAAGATAAAAAAAAAAAAAAAACAGAAATTACCATTTGCCATGTAATTTACAAATAAATAAAACACATGAAAATTCATTTTTGAAATATAAAAACAAATTAATGTGTACGAATAAAAAAATGACAAAAATGTAAATTAAAAAAAAATAATGAGAAAAATACGCCTCATTCAAAAATATATATAAAAAAAATAAAAACAT